TGCTCAGAAATCTTGGGAAGAAAGGAGACCACACCTAATGCCATAAATTCTTCAGTTAATGGTGATACAGATAGAAATAGACTGTGCAAGTGTCATTTATTTAAAATGTTTGTCAGGGGAAAGACTCTTCCATCTAAAGACAACATGACAACAGAAAGTTACACAAAGTTACCTTTAGATAAAATAAAACATTAATCTTTTGTCAAAAACCCAATATGGTATATTAGCAAAAACACTTTATTCCAGCTTTTGAACCCCCATGAACTACTCCGAATACCAAAGTTATATATGTTATATGTGTTAAAAACTCGTTACCATTTTTCCCAATTTAGATCTGAACTCCAACACAAACCATGGAAACTGCAGTCATTCCTGCAGCAGATGGACCTAAATATTTTCTGACCAGGTTCTTAAACAGAATTGTCAAGTTATAGATGCACATCCACAACAAATTTGGATTGTTTCAAATGAGATTTATTCATATTTTACACACTGTTATAGTGTACCTTCTCTGGGCACAGCCGGGGAGAGTTTCCCAAACTTTATTAACCAGATATAAAAATAATGATCGTTCCACCATATTTATTCCGATTTTGAAAGCAGGAGTTCTTGTCCAGGCAGCACGTGTGTTATAAGGAAGGAGGTGCTGCAGCCCCATGCAGTGCCAAACTTTACACAAGGGAGAAGGATAAAAATAGTGTATCAAGTGCCAGGAGTCTTGGTTTTGACCTTGATTTTTGTTTATTTTTTCTCATAAAGCACACATAGTACTACTGGTATGTATAGAGTGTTTATCAGTTAATAAACACAATCAATTAACCCCATTTATTTTTTAATTGACTTTTATTTTTATTCTTAAAGACATTAGCTATCATATGGTGAACACACAGCCTAAAGCTGACTCCAGTGTTCATCAACAGCAATATTTGCTCTGTTGGATATTGTCTTTTATCCGACGTCTGTAAGTGGAGAACTTTTATTTGGGAAAGAATGCTGTAGTGTTGTGGACATGACAGGTCAGTGATGTTGCTTTGACATTCAGCTCAGTGCGCTTCGCGGAAATCATTTACTACTGAAGGGCCGCTGCTCTCTGCTCCTCTTCCTTCTTCTTTACAGCAATCTCTGAAAAGTGTCAACAGAAACAGACAAAAAGAGCTTTTCCAGGAAAAAAGAGTTAAAGCATTTATGCCTCAGAGAGCGATCCCCTCAGTCTAATCCCTTGCCTTGTCTTTCCTTTTTACTGGGCTTTCATGCCCTTTCTTCTGTCAGTCTCTCCAACGCCCCATGGCTGCCAATCTCTACTGCCCCCTAGGGGTGAGGAAACGCTGCTGCACCACCGTGCTCTTAGAACTCAACCAAAATTTGATCCTAGGTTTTATGTTCAATGCCACCCACACCTAAGCCAATCGTTTGTTTTTACATATATGCTAGCTAGGTCCCTGTTTCCCCTGAGCTCCCCGTGGATGTCGGGGTGCCTATGGAACAGTGGGACTTAATTTTGTGCTGCAACGCTCGGCTGCACACAGCCAGATACAGAGCAACGCTTGGGATGCGGACGCATCAACACAACAACTACTCTGGGAGCATTTGCGGGAGCCCTGAGGAGACATATTCACACAGACCCACAGAACGATGTGGGATAAAACAGTGCAGCCATTGTAAGCTCCGGGAGCCTGCTGGAAGAGATTGTTTTGATGAAGCAGCAAGGGCACACCAGCACTGAGACTAAATGTAGCATGGCCATGATGGTTGAATTCCCTGACTGTCGGGACCTTGGCTGCAGCCTCTGCTTTGGCTCGCAACTTTTTTGGGTTCCTGGTTTTTTTACTGTAGGGAAAATGGCTGTGTGTGTCTGCCTGCCTGTGCAGTTTTTTTTTTTTCTCTCACTGTTAAAGCTTTGCACTGTAAAATGTGTGTGTCTGTGTGTGTGTGTCATGCCATGTTCTTGTTCCACGCGCCTGTGTGGTGGCCCGGGGTTGAGGCCAAAGTAGAATTTCTAAGTGATGGAATTTCACAGCCACCAAGCACCCAGCGGCCGGCCAAACCGCAAGCACTCACATTTCCAACAAACGGCCGGCCCTCTCCACGGAGTCTCCTGAATGGCAAAGCCATTTGTCTCTGTGAAGGGCAGAGGGAGGAAAAAGCTAAATAAAATCAGAGGCAGACTACTTTAATGGAACAAAGCTTTTTTTTTTCTCCCCCCTGCTCTTGTGTGTGTTTGTTTACGACTCCTAACTACTCAGACGGACACACACGCATGGAGGTGCGCACACACACACACATTGCCACGAGGTTAAATCGGAATTAAAGAGAAGGAAAGGTGCATAGCCTGTTGCTAATTAGCATTTTCTCTGCTCAGCAGAAGGAGGCAGAGGAATCGATAAGATATTAAGTTTGTGTATAGCAATGAGGCACACAATCACTTTCATCCATTAGCAACAGCAGATTAGAAGAGAAACACTGGCCGAGGCAACAGCAAATTTTTGACCTCTATGGATTTAAGCTGGGCTGAGAATGCAGAATCGGTGCTGTTTGTTTAATTTCACTGTTCTACTGTGGCTGACGAGCAGCGATAATCAACCGAAGATCAACAGAAACTTCAGAGTGTAATTTTGCCTCCAACAGTTACAAGTCATCATAACTTTTGATCCTGACTTCAGAGAAATACCATCTCTGGGATCTGTGCTTCCACATTTATCAAAAGTAAAATTTCAATTCAAAGATTCAGATTTTACCCATGAAAATCTAATATTTGGCTTTATATAGCAGTTTTAAGGGGATAATCAAAAAGTATTACAGTTTTAATGTAGATTCACTACGGCATTGAAAATGAAAATGAAGAGTAACACCTTCTGACCTTCTCTGTGGACAGACAGAAAGAAAATCTTAGGCTAGACCAGCAGATGTGTGCCACCTGTTGTCCACTGCTCATGAATCCTGTAGATATATAATTCACCTGGACTGTTAAAGAATTCTCTGCACAGTGGCCGTTTGATGTTTCATTCATGTGTTTCTGGCTGAAAATGAACGCCCAGGTCACACTGTGTTTTAACCCATCCTCCTACACTGGGCTATGTTAAACGCATACATGTCTGACTATAGATGGAAGAATTGTGATTTTTTTCTTTATAACTAAGTAAGATGATATTTGCTCTGCAAAGCTACTTCACTTGTATGTACTTTAATGTAACACAACCCACACTTGAAAAATGTTCTTAATGCATTTTTCTTTCTTTGCTCTTTTCTCCATTCCGTCTCCATCTCTTCCGTTTCATAGACCAGCTAAGTCCAGAGAAGGAGAAAAAGCTGGTGTTTCTCACTGCTCGCGTTCACCCTGGAGAATCTCCCGCTTCCTTTGTCTGTCAAGGTAAAAGGTCTTTTTATGCCGGTTGTTTCCGTCTTTATTATTAACCAGTTCAATAATTGATTGCTCGGATACTTTTACAATCCGGCTTGTTGTCCACATCATAAAAACAATCAATGAAGCAGCTTAGTTTGAATAAAATCTGAAACTAATCTGTGTGGTGTATAGTTCAAAACTACACATGCCATTTCTTTCTTCACAGTCATAATCAGAATGAAGGCTGCGTACCACTTTAAAACGTTTGGATCAATTAGTGTATCTTTTACCTTAAGTGGAGACTGACTGTCTTTAATGACCCAGCAATACAAAAATAAAATCAAACGAATGAAAGAAGAGGCTGTATAAGTGCCCCATAGTTATTAGTGATCACAGCATTTATGACTTTAAACTCCCATCATGGAGTTATGCTCTTTTAAATACAGTACTTGTAAATAAAGCACATTAAATCATTAAACCTGGTAAAGGCATGGCAGTGCATTTTCACTGGGTTGTTTATGTTCAAAACGGGTGCAGGGCAGCCTATCTAATGTGCTTTTTGTTTTTGGTCTTTGGAACATTTGTAGTTTCACTGCAGAAACAGCTTAAACTAACAACTTAGAATAAACAATTCTCTATTTACCACTTTTTTTTCAAAGTTCTTTTCCCTCCAAACCCCCCATAGTCAAAGATGAGAATATAAAACAAAAGAAAGGGCTGTCCTTTTTTGGGGGGGGTATTCGTTTGATACTTTAAAGCATCTTTTACTGTTCTGACCTGTGTTTGTCTTTTAAAAGGCATTTCAAGCTTTTGTGACTGGAAACCAGAAGAACTATTGTTTTTAGACACATGTATGCTCACATAACACATCCATGTTGGAGTCTGTGTTTTATAAAACATGCCATTTACAGTATTAACTCAGAAATGAATAATTGCTTCTGTAAATACATTCTCAACACATTCACTCCTGCATCTGAGCTGGAAGGGCTTCCAAGCCGTAAAAATAGGAAGTAGATCATGTGTCTGTACATAAGATCTCAGGAAATACAATCTATAAAAACAATTGGAGCTTCACTTTTCTGGCTTCTGTGCTCCTGCGCTCTAGCTCAAATCTAATAAAACATCTTGAAAAACTGGAAACCTTTGGGAAATTGCCTTTTTGTGCAGCCCAAAAGCCTCAAAGACTAGAGGGATTTAATGACATTGTTCTATATCTATCTATCTATCTATCTATCTATCTATCTATCTATCTATCTAT